CCCTGAACCCCTTAAACCCTTAAACCCTCTATCCCAAATCCGAGACCCTAAACCCTAAACACTAAACCCTAAACCCTAAACCCTAAACCCTAAACCCTAAACCCTAAACCCTAAACCCTAAACCCTACCCTCTATCCTAAATCCGAGACCCTCTACGTATCAAGATCAGTTGACCAGCTTGTAGTGTCTTTAGGGGGCCCTAAACCCTGAACGGTAGAGGGCTTGGTGCTAACCCTAAACCCTCAACCCTAAAGGTTTAGACAAAACTACGCCTGGGGAGAAGATCACGGCCTGGCTATGGATGTGGGGTTAATGTTTAGAGCTGAGGGTTTCTCATCGAGGTCCGGCTTGCGTGTTCAGTTTTCGGGTTTAGGGTTTGAGTTTAAGGGTTTTAGGGCTTAAGGGGAAGATTCGGATTTGCGGTTTGGCAACTTTTGGATTTAGGGCCTGGGCACGTGAGATCATAACTTCAAGGCCCTACACCAACTCTAACAACTGGATTTTGGGCATCGTCCCAGGTGCTTGTCGACATTGAGCGCGTCAATGCCCGGATCCTGCCACCGAAGCGCTGCGGCCCAGAACCCGAAGCAAAGAAGGACAAAGTGACCAAAGCTCGCGGCATTTTGGCGACGAGATGAGGAAACTGCAACAGTGTGGAGGATGGTATTAAGAACTGTCTGACGAAAAAGTCATGGCATGGCGGACCTGCGCATAACAGAACAGGTTCATGGATGACAAAACTTTGCTGACCATCACGAAAGCCACAAAGGCAAATCGACCACAGCAGTACCCTAAACCCTTAACCCTAAACCCTGGATAGCACGCTCTTTCCTTGTGCACGAAGCAAATGTCGAAGAACTGAGCCACTCCGGCCTTGGAATCTGAAGGAAGGGTTTAGGGTTTAGGGTTTAGGGTTTAGGGTTAGGGCTTATTGGCTTGAGCTTTTTCTGGTGATTTGGGCTTCGGGGCTTGACTGTTTGGTTGTATTCGGGAGCCTTCAAACCATAAACCCTCCATCTGTTGTAATGTAGAGGCCTTCATAATCAAAATAAGGTCTTGGGGACCATTATACTATAGTTTTGACAAGGAACCCCCAAATTATTTAGGCCCCTACATTAGCGCCTTAAGGCTTGCCGAAACAAAGCCCTTGAGGCTTGAGTCGGAGGTCGCTTCTTGGCAAGAGTCAGGGCAGGGTTAGGGTTTAGGGTTTAGGGTTTAGGGTTTAGGGTTTAGGGTTTAGGGTTTAGGGTTTAGGGTTTAGGGTTTAGGGTTTAGGGTTTAGGGTTTAAGGGCATTGCCCAAGGCAGCGGCGATTGTGGGGATCAGTAGCCCAAACAACGTCGCCCAATGCAACAACGCCGTGATTGTTGTGAATGGACTGCAGACTCGCGACCAAGAGCTTAAAATCGAAATCCTACAATCGAACGCTGCCAAAAGATAGAGCCCAAATATTCCAGAAACCTTAAGCCCAAACTCCCCAACCCTAAACACCTTTCTAGATCCCTTATAGAGCCCTTGATACAAAAAAGAAGGCCTCACTAAACAATCGGCCGACACCTCTCCAAAGGTTTCCCTTTTTGAGTTTATGGCTTAGGGCCTAGGGCTTTTAGGGTTTAGGGTTTAGGGTTTAGGGCTGTTAAGGCTTTTAGCGTTTAGGGTGTAATAGAGGAGCCTTACTAGTTAGACAGAATAGATTTTGGCCCATTCTACTATCATTCTACTCTGGAACCCCAAAATAGTATTGGTAATTATTTTGGCCCCTATCTAACCCTATATTAAGCCCTAAGCCCTAAACCCTAAACCCTAAACCCTAAACACTACAATCAAGACCACAGGCCGGCCCATTATACTATAATTATAATCAGGAACCTCCAAAAAGAGGGAACCCTCAACATAGCATTGGTAATTCGTAAGGCCCCTATATTATATTCCTGAGTTGGAGCCTCCTGCAACTCTTAACCCTAAACCCTAAACCCCAAATTAAACCCTAAAGCCGATAAGGAACCCCCAAAATTAGGCTTTGCCCCTTTGCAGCCCGAAGCGCATTGTCCGAATCCACCTTCGGGAGGAAGCGGACTGCGTCGAAGCCGAAGATCCTGGCTCCACAGCTTGACGAAGCATTTAGGGTTTAGGGGCCTTAATAACTAGAACAGGGCTTCAAGCTCCTTTATAGGATTCTTATATAGTTTTATACTGTAGGGGCCTTAATAATTAGAAGAGGGTTTTACGATCCTTTATAGGATTCTTATGATCAGGAACCCTAACAGTAATATTGGTACTTATTTAAGCTTCTATATCAGGGTTTAGGGCGTCGGGCGTAGGGCTTTGGGTTTAGGGCTTAAGGTTTATGGTTGGTACGTGCTTTACGGTTGAGGGCTTATAGAGTCCGAAATCGCAGCACAGGTGCCTTTTGATGATTCGAAGACCCTAAACCCTACCCCTAAACCC